CAAAAAAGGCAGTCACACTATGAGTGTTAGGTGGATGAACCTTCATTCTCCCTTAGAATCTGTGTGTCAGGGATCTGATGGTAACTCAGTTTGCCAAGCCACGCTTTTTTGACATTCCTGGACATTGGAACACAAGTCATTGTCTATGGGTGTGGCCAATTTGACTGGATTCAGAAATAACTCAAATTGGACAATGGATTGATATAACCTTGGAAATGGGTCCTTTTGAGTCAATATACACCCAGTGGTTGTAACTGATACTGCTGAATGTTTGTGGGAAATAGATCTTTTAAGTTCCCAGTGGAGTGCACACTTTAGACAGGCAGTATGGGTTCTATGTGGCAGTCCCACAAAAAGACATTCTATTTGTTAAAATGTTTAATTATGGGGGGAGAGGGGGAAGAGACCGTGACAGGCTGTAAGAGACACAAAACAATTAGCCCTTTTCACTCTTTTTCCTTCTCATGCCTACCTCTAGGAAACTGGGCTACTGTATTTTTAAAGTGGCAAAAGAGAGTGGGGATGTGGGTTGGAAGACTAATCTGGTGCTTCTTTTACTGCCCAACTCTGCTTTCTGGATCTGGAAGATTATAGATATTAATGGTATTGATCATAGATACGAGGCACGGCTCACATGTCAGGGAGCGAGAGAGATGTTCTAGAAAGGTACAGTGTATTAAAGGAAGAAGCCGCTGAGCCACCTAGGGAAAAATTTGTCCAGCTGATGTGGATTAGAAATGGTGGTGAGGTTTGGAAAAAGCGTGAAGAGTTTGCTTCAGGGAATTATCATACCACTCATGTCCTTGTGGAAAGAGAGCAGCAAATCCAGCTGGTCGGAAAGGAAAAACCTCAGACCCTGGAAAGTAAGGGGTGAGGCAAGGAGCATTAACCTCTCTTGTATTAAATATTTCTGGAAGGATGCATAGGAAAGGGATGAAGATGGGAAGACGTTTTTACATGTTTTTTACATGTTGAATTTTGAACCAAGAAACTATTTTAATAGTTTTATAAACTATTAAACATTTAAAAATAAAAACAAAATTATACCTAAACCTGGAACTAAAATTTAGAAATTAACATTCCCAGTCATAATGCTAGGGTACTAAGGACCTAGCATTAAAAAAACTTAATAAAATATAAGTTAGATTTTCTTTTTAAAGCAATATACACATTAACTCATACAATTCTCTACTATGAAAATGTTTTTAAGAATGTAAATAAACAAGAATTGTACAAGCTGTTAAATTAACTTTATTTTTATTTAATATAACTGATGAAGTTAACAGACAAATATTTTAATGTAACAAAAAGTCATAATTGATAAGTTCATCTACATTTTAAAGGTTTTTTAGTATAGCCAAGGACTTAACATTTGAACTTTATCCATGTTTGAAATGTAAAATGCACAATTATAATATCCATACTATTAATACATATCTTAAAATTTGTAAGTTTTAGCTAAAACATTTGAGTCTCTGCAGGTAAAAGCAAGAATTCTCCTACACCTAAGACAAATAAAATGTATTACTAATAAAGTGCCACTGGATTAGACAATACCATTGCAAATATTTCCTTTTTTGGGAGGAGGGAAAAAGTACATAATAAAACTAGGTATTTTCATTATACCAGTACAGAACTAGTAATTTGCATCATACTTTGTAACAAGCACAAGAGTGCTTATTTATAGTAGATATTAACCACAATAAAGAATTCCTCTCAAGAAAGTTCACAACTATAACTTATGACAAGCTGTTTGGTCATTGTTGAATATAGTTTAGTGTCCAGAGTTTGTAAAAAGTACAATCTAGAACTAAGATACACCTAAGTCTGCCAATACCAAGAAATAATTTTAGGGACTTCATATAAATAAAAGAAACTTTTTGATTGTAAAATAGATCTCTACCTGTTTAAAGGAGGGGAATAGTGGTGGATGGCAAAGTTTGACAACAAGTATGTTTCCAGCAGGTGAAAGCCTGGTATGGCTGCTGTAAGATGCATCTTTCACATAAAGAAAAACATGCTTATTAGATGTATACAGCACTTTTCAGGCACTTGACCTCACTTGGTAGTTATGTTGGTGTTCAAATGTTTATTTAGTGGAAAAACATTAAATTATATATTGACTTCAAGCCATGTTCCCATAGAACATCTGTGTTCCGTAAGCTAAATCCAAATGTTCCCTGATAAAATCAAATAATGATGCTATATGCCCAATTCAGAGAGAAAAAATTCAATAAAGTTAACAGATTGGATTTTCTCAACTTGAAGATTTTTCTACTATAAATTTTTCTTAAATCTTTGTTGCTTATTATTTGTCTGAATGCTAGCAGAAAAAAGCTTGAAAACTATGAAATATTATGCCTAAATTTTATTAGAAAATTAAAACTGTTGATCAGTACAATATATCGTTTATGGGAATATGCTTCTATTTTTGCTCTTATACTGCTTAGGGGACATATTTTATCATAGTAAATGTGTTCCTAGTTCATATTATAGAATTCAATATATAAATATTTGTACACAGAAGAGCATTATGAATTTTCAATCTGCTGTCCCTAAATATGTTTGGAGAACTACTATATCAATGTCTGGCTCTAAAACTATCTTTGGGGTCCATGCCAAAGGAATGCTTTTCAAATATATTGTAAGAATAGGGGTCCAAGATGAGACTACCAAATTCTATTCTTAAAAGAAAAAATATGGTAAGATTCTAGTATAAATGCTACTAATACTTCCATTGTTTTCTTGAATACTTGGTATGTAGTTTAAATATGTTGATATTAAGAATTTTTTAGATGTATGTATCATGGTATTACAATTTGGGAAAGTTTTGCAATATGCTTTCAGGCAGTTAGCTTTAAAATAATAAAATTCCAGCTCTTAGCACAAAAGTCCTGAGAATAATGCATTCAAATTACAGCTCAACTAGAAATAATCTAATTGAGAAACCTTAAAGTACAAAAACAAGTTCTGAAAAAGTTGTAAATTAATAAAAACAAAACCAGTTACCAACATTTGAGGCACTACCAGACTACAGTACTTTAAAGAGTTGAATGGACTTTGGAAAAAGAACAAACATACAAAGCTAATGTGTGTACATGCACACACTCACATTGTGTTGTAATGAAAAATTGTGTACCCAAATTTTATAGCCTAAACATTTTAATGTAGCATCTCCTGTTAAAAATATCATGCTCTGACTGTAGGAGAATTTTGGTAATTAATATAAAGCATTGGTACAGGGGCTTGTATCATAGGGAACACAGTCAAGAGCTTGGTTAGCAACAATTTCTTCAAGTGACTGACAGCCCTTGGAGGGGACTATGAAAGAAAAACATCATAATTATGTTTATGATGCAAATGCTAAGTAGCAATGATGTGATCTATGTTAGAGGGTATACAACTTTGTAGTAAATAAGGTATAACAAAGTCTTTACAGTAGAAATAAAATATGTTGTTCTAGCAAGAAACAAATATTCAACCTGTTGAACATAAATTGGTGAAATGTGTACAGACAAAAATGGCATATCACTGTATAATTTATCAACATTACAGTCCACATTCTATACATGTAACTTGCGATATTTAACACTTGCTACAAAAAAGTACAAGAAATACTAGGAATCAACTTTTAACATTTCTCTGATGTCTAAAAAGAATGAAGTCACTTCTGTTCCATGTTAAAAAATATGTTCCCTGCTTCCTTTTAATATAATTTATAAAGCTTTACCAAATGAAATATTTTGCTCTAGAGAAACATCTATTGAATTATGTGAAAATAAACAGTCCTATATCTTTAAAATCTATACTTATATGTCAGAAGAATATTTACACTTCATATAATACTGAAAATGACATATTTATGCACAAATAGCTTTTACCATTGAAAGTTTGAAGACAGAGATGCATTATTATAATTTGTATACCCTTACGTCACAATTGAAAATATATTTATGTGAAGTTTGACAAGTTAGGAAAAACAAGGCATGCTAATCTGGAGTTAATACTGTCAGAACACTAGTATGGTTAGCAGGGGCCATACGAATGAGCAGCAAGTAGCACAGATTAATAATTTTCTGGAATTCCTGTGGGTAACAATGCCAACCAGCAGCAAGTAAGATATGCATTACAGAGTACTAAAAAAACTAGAGCATTATGTAGCAGATTCTTAAATAGCATACAGGAAAGAATTTAGCCTAATTCCTAATTGTGCTTTAGATGGGCAAAAGCTAAAATGTTATACTAAAAACAATTAACTACAACCTCAGTATTTCTTGTGCTTTAGAATTTTCCTCTTTGCATTTCTCTCAAAGTGTTTTGCTGCTTCTCCAAATGAGTTTTCTGATGCCAAGGTAAGATTTAAAAGTCTGCAGAAATTAAACAACTAAAACTTTGGGATCTTCTGTTCCTAATGCTATTTCCAGTGACTTATTAGATCAGTTACATCATCATATATGTTTTCCTCTAGGTTATAGGAACCAAAGGCCTTTTAGAGGTCAAGGAATGAAGGAAGAGGTCTCAGAACCAGTGTTAGAGAATCAAGGTATTACTGAGAGAGTGATTTTGTTCTAAGCCTCATTCCAATATCATGATTGTTACTGAGTCAAAGATCCTCACGAACCCCGTACCAGTGTCTAAAATTCTGGAAATATTAATATACAAATGACTCAAAAGATTAAATAGAAATACAGTGGTATCACCTAAAATAACTTTTAAAATAATTCAGCTTATATTAATAGAATTCTTTCCTAGTTATATTTCACACCAGTAACTGAATAAAGTCACATGATAATCAAAAATACATATACTTTAAAATAAGTTAAATAACAATATATAAAGTAACATTTCTTCCATGATTCACTTTCATTTCATTTTAGAAAAAATATAGATAAATTTAACAAACATTCCAAATCAATTAAAGGTAAGAATTCCCAGTTTTTGTCTAACAAATAGTTTAAGGTAAAAAAAAATGTACTTAAAAATGGTTGGAAAGGAGTATTTACTGATAAATACCAACATGGCTGGGAAAAAAGTACTGTGTAGTATCCAGTAAAGCAAGTCATTCCTTTAAATGTCAGTGGGTGGAGGTGGGAGGCAAAACTTCAAAGCCAAAACACAACTAAAAAGCCACTTTTCATTTTTATGCTGACTACAAAGGCCTCAAATAAAAACTTATGGCTTTAACCAACCCTCTTTGCTATTGCCTTTTGTATATTCTTTAAAATCTGACTTGCTCACTTTCACCCAACAGTTCAATATCCCTTTGTTAACCACAAAAAGATACTAAAACCACAGGAGGTTATATTAAGTCTGCCAACAATTTGGCAAAGAATAGTATGACCAAGATAATATATGTGGTTGCACATGGCCAACAAGATAACTACACTTTTTGATAGCATGATTTTTGTTTAAGGATTTGTGTTTGCCACACACAAGCTGAGCTGTGACAATTCCAATCCATAATCTATATATTTTGTGATATTAAATCTGAAATTAATGTAGAGCAATTCAACTTCAATACCGTTATATGCTACATTGTTTGATTTAAAACCCTGGTTTATTTGTAATTTAACTAAAATGCAGGAATGATTTGCTCAGACAAATCACATCTGCTGAAGCTATCTTATCTGTTTCTTAGACTCACAGACTGAAAACCACAGGAACGTTACAGGAAAAACACCTACAAAACTAAAAAATAAAAGAATTACACATCTTGACAATTTTTTAAAATTATCAATTGCCTGCAAAACTAATCCAGCACAACTTCAAAACAATTACAAAAAGAAATGAGGTTGCTTATGAAGGCCATAGCTTTGGTGACAACTTAGAATCAAACTTTAGATCTGCAGTTGATCCAGACCTAAATAGTTTGTTCATGCCTGATATTCCCATTTATTTGCAGGGTTTTATGGCTACAGCATATTCTTCACTCATTGCACACATGACAGATACCTAGAAGGAAAAAATGTAGGCAAAAAGTTATTCAGAAGGTAATACATATAGAAGATATATTTAGTTCACATATATTTTTATATTTGTGGATATTCTGTACATACTGAATTTAGAAAGAGTATTCCAACATAAATAATCAACTTTCTTTACAGTTTTCTGAAGTAGAATTTTTCAAACTGTGGTTTGTAAAACAATTTCCAGGAAATAGGAAGAATAAGAGCTATAAATGTTTCAACACTTACTAGATATTACACTTCGGAAAGTTGTAACAGAGTAAATCTCCCTCACTCTTTAATATTCCGTTATACCATCATTTCTTATCCTTAAGGATAGTTCAGATGAAGAGCCTCAAAACAAATTTGGGGTTGACAGTGTTTATGTAGCAAAAAATGAACGTCAATACTTCTTTGGTAATGGGTCTCTAAGAGTATTATGGAAAAACTGCCTTACAGAGATAATTTTCAACATTTCAACAGTATTTTTAAACCACATTCCATGTATATTAATAGTATTTTATGTTAACTAGTTTAGGCCAAAATTGTATTAAATGGTTTAAAAAAACAATCTTCCTGTAAGTCTTTACCTGTACATCTTCACCTGCATTGTATTTTCCTTCTATTTCTTTGCCCAGTTCACCTTCTGGCAGTTTAAGATCCTCACGAACTTCACCAGTTTCTGTCAGCAGGGAAAGGTAACCATCTTGAATGCATATCAGCTATTAGAAGAAATTATATAATTTGTACTGATTAGATTATATCCACTCCTCCAATGACTGCATAGTTAAATTGTAATCCACATTAATTTGTATAAATACACAGTAATACATTAATATTCTTGGTGTCTAAAAGTGCTGAAAATACAAAAGTATAAAATATGCACAGAATGAAAGTATACATCTACTCCTCCCTACACCCCCCCTGCCCCACTTAATCTCTGCATTATTAAACAGTTTAGGCTTCTTTATACTGTATCCTGAAGCATTTGCATTGATGTGCACAATGCAAATATAGTTGCTTTAAAAAACTGGATATAAGTATTTTTCTTTTTTTAAATTTTGTGTGTATTTTTTCAGTAAGCTGTTTGACTTAATACGTCTTAGAAATCTTTTCAAATCAGAACATAAAAACCTACCTTAGTCTATTTAACTACTACACAACTGCATAGATATATTGTAACTGATCTAACCATTTTCCCATTAATAAACATAAAAGTTATTTCCAATTTTTCCATGTTACAAACAATGCATTTTATAATTTTATTATGAACAAAGTTAAATGGAAAATTTTTGGTCTCCAGCTCACTGCTAACAACAGTTTTTCTTTTTTAAAAACAAACACTAGCTTATTGATGACATTAATGAAACAAAGCCAGTCATCAACCTAACTTGGGATAAAATATAAAGCATTTCAAATGTAAAGATGTATAAATATCATATTAAAAATCTAGTCAAACAATGTATTTATAAACAATAAATTGTTATATGAAATAAAAGTTTTCAGAAATAAAACTAAGTTACAGAAAAATAAAATTAAATAATGAGATTGAATTACTTGATCCTTTAAATTAAATTATTAGGAAATCTTAAAATCTAAAGAAAAGTTGCGATAATGCAATGAAATCCCATATCCTTTACCTAGATTTACCCATTGTTAACATTTAAGCACATGTGCATTTTTCCTCTCTACATATACATGCAATATATAAAATGCAGATCACAAACATTCTTATTTTTACTGAACCATTTAAGTTTCAAAGATCATGACTTTTCAGAAATAAATACTTCAGTGTGTTTTCCCCAAGAACAAGGATACACTCTTATATACCCACAGTTTATTTTTCAGAATCAGGAAATACTGATAACCTATTATCCAATATATAGTCCATCTTCAAATTTGCCAGTTGTCCTAACATTGTCCTTGATAGCAACTTATCTCCCCAACTCCAGGATCATGATGTTGTATTTATCTGGCTGTCATGTCAGTTTAGTCTCTCTTAATTTGAACAGTTCCTTCACCCTTTGTCTTTCATGACATTGACATTTTTGAAGAGGACACGTTCACTGTTTTATAGCATGTTCCTCCGTTTGGGTTTGTTTCATTCTTTCCTCATGATTCAGGTAATGGATTTTTGAAAGGAATACTACACAAACTATGTGCCCTCAGAGTATCATATCAGGAGGCAATTATGTCAATGTGTTCCATTACTAGTGAGCTTAATTTTGATCACTTGGCTAAAGTGGTATCTCTCAGGACTTTCCACTCTAAAGATATACTTTTCCTCTTTGTAATTTGCAATCTTAAAAAAAAAAACCAATAATGTCATTGTCAAATCTCAGGCATATTTTTGTGCAAATTTTTCCACCTTTTCTCAAAGGCCTTTCTGACTATAGAGTTGGAAGGAGAGGATGGTGAGGAGACTGTTACCAGCCAATTCTAAATATTTCCTTCTGATCCTTCACCTTTAAACAAATCTACTCATTTGATAACGTTAAGATTTTTTTGTTTGTTTTTTTTTTGAGACACAGTCTCACTCTGTTGCCCTGGGTAGAGTGAAGTGGTGTCACTGCAGCTTCCTGCAACCTCAAACCCCTGGGCTCCAGTGATCCTTCTGCCTCAGCCTCCCAAGTAGCTGGGACTACAGGCAGTGCATACCACCAAGCCCAGCTAATTTTTTTTTTCTATTTTTAGTTGTCCAGCTAATTGTTTTTATTCTTAGTAGAGATGGGTCTCATTCTTGTTCAGTTGTTTAGTAGAGGCTGCTCTCAAACTCCTGAGCTCAAGCAATCCTCCCACCTCAGGCTCCCAGAGTGCTAGGATTACAGGCGTGAACCACCACGCCCGGCCTTTAAGATGTTTTCGAACAATTCTTTTTTTTTTTTTTGGCAGAAGGAGTAGTTGTTGCAGGGAGACAGCAGAGGACAGGTTCAGAAAACTTTAAATAGAGGTTCTGGGCATGCGGTGGTGCACCATGCTCCTGAACAGTGTAGATTATACTGGTATCAGAATGTGGGATCTTTTATTTCCTACTAAAAGAATCCATGGCTTCTTGGAAAAATGGATAATCCCAGGTCCAGAGCAGGAAGTGTACAAGGTAAACATGGAGCAAGCTGTTATACTAGAAAGCAAGGCACAATCAAAGACCATTATGCTCACATGAAAGGAACTCAGGAGTTAACTTTGATAGGGTCCCACTGGCCAAAGACAAAACAATTTGAGAGTCAAAACGATAGGAACTACAATTGATTTAAACACAAATATGTTTAAACGTTTCAGATCATACTGAAAAAAACATTTTGTTGTCATCTTCAGGGGATGCTAGGAACCAACTCACTTTAAAGACAGGTAATTTGGCCAGGCATGGTGGCTCACGCCTGTAATCCTAGCACTCTGGGAGGCCAAGGCGGGTGGATCGTTTGAGCTCAGGAGTTCAAGACCAGCCTGAACAGCTAAACTGTTTAAGAGACCCCATCTCTACTAAAAGCAGAAACAAATTAGCTAGACAAATAAAAATATATAGAAAAAATTAGCCGGGTATGGTGGCGCATTGCTGTAGTCCCAGCTACTTGGGAGGCTGAGGCAGAAGGATTGCTTGAGCCCAGGAGTTTGAGGTTGCTGTGAGCTAGGCTGATGCCACAGCACTCTAGCCCAGGCAACAGAGCAAGACTCTTGCCTCAAAACAAAACAAAACAAAACTCTGGCAATTATAGGGAAGGAATCAAGTATTTATACTGCCTTTCATATAAATATATTTATATATACACACATGTACACAGAGTATACATACTATACCTCAAGATAAACAAAAAAAATTGATTAAGTTTCTTTTTATAGAAGTATTCTGGTAAGAAAAAAAATGAAGGAATGATAGATCATTATTTTGTCTCTAATAAATTAATGGATTGAGGCAATGATCACACAGCTGATAACACCTCAAAAAGAAATAATAACCATTATTTAACTAATAGTTGCACAGAATATCACCTATGGAATAGTACTGTTAAAGAAAGAAAGAAGAAGAAGAAAATAAAAATCTAAATTGAATCTGACCAAGCCTTCACATCTTACTACCAAGTTTCAGGAAACACAAGGGACAGAGAACATGTTAAAAAATAAGAAAGTGCACTTAGATAAATTCAGACTGTGGGAAAGTCTACAGAACAAATGATCTAGTCTCTTCATTAAAAAATTGCAGAGAAACAGAGAGAGATAGAGAGACACCCTAAGTGCACATGTGAAAGAGGAGAATCTATAGATTAAAATAGATTTAAGAGATAGACCAATCAAATGAATTGTGTGGACCTTATTTAGGCCTGATTTATTTTTTAAAAAAATACGATTAGGAAGTTAAGAAAATGTAGACACTGATGGGATATTTGACGATATTAAGGAATTATTTTAGATGTGTTAGTGTTTTGTTTTTTATAGTTCTTATCTTTTAGAGATGCATAACAAAATATTTGAAGATGAAATGATATGATGTCTGGAATTAGCATCTGAAAAGGGACTAAGCGTATACAAGGAACTCAAACAACAACAAAAACCAAATAATTCCATTAAAAAGTGGGCAAAGGACATGAATAGACATTTTTCAAAAGAGGATAAACAAAAATCAATATACCAAAAAGATAACTTGCACTTATATGTTGATTACAGCATTATTTACAATAGGAAAGATATGGAATTAATCTATGTATCTATGGATGACTACATAAAGAAAATGTGATATATATATAATGGAATACTATTCACCACCATGCAATTTATGCATGTAATAAAATTACACTTGTATCCCATAAATTTATACATATAAAAAAATCCCAAATAATCAAGAGGTAGAACAGGAAGCAAAAATAGGTGTAGGGTGTAGATGAAACAAGATAAGCTACGTATTGGTAATTGTTGAAGCTGAGTGATGGGTACATGGGATTCATTATACTGTACTTTGAAAATTTTCACAATAAAATTAGTTAAAAAATTAAATTTACTTAAAAAAAAATTAAAATTACTTAAAAAACAGAAAAATGCCATGGAATATCAGAATTCTAGAAGGAGCACTGTAACCACTAATGCTAGGAGGCACAGCGAGCTAAGGAAGCAAAGCATGATCTAAAAGGAAGGGTATGGCAGAGTTAGTGACTGCAGATTCTGTCCACGATGTAGTCAGAATAAGAAAGCACACTGACAAGGAGGAATTATAGGGAAAATTTTTTTGCTTGCATTTGTAATACTGGTATACAACAGAAGGCTGGAGAAGGTGTCATCACTGTAGGTGCCTTCTTAGCCCTAATTTCTGAATTTAATTTTGTTTCTCGATGTATTTCAAAACAACCAGACTTGTTTTGGTAATACCCCTATTCCTTTCCACTTCTTCCTTCTTTTCCCCCGGCACTCCTGGACTACTTCCTTACAGTTGCTAGTCCCTGGATGAGACTGAATGCTTAATCATTATTATTACACATCCTAAGCAAAGAACACCATCATCAACTGGGGTGTTATCTGAACCACTAAGCCATGCAATTGGGAATATAGAGCAGTACTCCAGCATCAAATAGAAGTAGCATATATGAGATCAACTTGAGCAGGTTCTAAAGGCACAAACAAATTGTATAAGTGGCTCAGATTCAGAAAACACCTGCTCCTACCACACTGACACTTCTCCCTCGACTCATACCGGTGGCTTTTTGGGGAGTTCCCTACAACCAGTTGACTGAAAAAAAATTCAGAATGGTTTCTAGATGGTTATGCATTACATGATGACACCATTCACAGGTGGGCCTGAAAGATAGTGGGGCTGGGAAGAACTTCAAGCACTAGAACTGAAAGAAGAGAGAACCAGAGGTGTGGATTTATGCTGATTATTGGCAATAGCTAAGAGTTTGGCTGAAAGGTTAAGGGCACTAAAAAAACAAGACACAAAAATTGCTGACAATAAGGTCTGGGAAAGTGGTAAATGCATGGACCTCTCCAAAAAACTAGAGAATGTGTCCATATGAATGCTCACCAAAGGGCATCTGCTACTGATGAGGCTCTAAATAATTAGGTGGACAAGATGATTCTCTCTGTGGATGCCATTCAGCTACTTTTTGTAGCCTCCCCAATCCTTGCTCAATGGGCCCAATGACATAGGCTTTCTCTCACCAAGGCTGATCTGACTACAGCCACTGAGAACCTCACGGAAGAGACCAATACAGAGTCCTGGATATGGCACCATTCCCCAGGGGGAACAGTTAGCCATGATAACATTGTACTCCTTCCATCATGGAAGTGGTAGCAATTTACCCTTATTGCAACAGATTATTACCCTACATATGGATTTGCTTCCCCTGCCTGCAGTGCTTCTGCTAAAATACCATTTAGCTTTATAGAATATGCCTCATTCCTGTCATAGTATCTCACATGGCATCACTTCTGACTAAAAGAGTAATTTTATATGCATAATAATGAAGCACAGGACAATGCCCAGAGAGTTGACTGGCTCATATAGTCCATCATGCCAAAACTGTTTGCCTGTGTGGACTGGCCTATTGAAGACTCATTTATGGCACCTGCTGGATGATATTTTGTTGGCCTGGCGTGCTGTTTTGCAGGTTACAATATATTTCAATATATGGTGCTATTTTTCCCATAGGTAGAATACACAGGTCTAGGAACCAAAGGTAATGGTTTTTCTCACTAATACCCTTACTGATCCTGTAGTAAAATATTTCCCTCTTGCCCCTGCAATACTGAGCTCCACTGGTTTAGAAGTTTTCTATTCCCAAAGAAAGACTGCTTCCATCAGGAAATACAAGGATTCTACAGAACAGGTAAAAATTATAAAAAGACTTTAAAAGCTCAAGGAATTTATAGCATCATCATTTTCTTTGTCATTATTGTTTTAAGTTGCAACAATATCTCAAAGTCCAAAAGATAGACCACTTATTTGAAGAATATGCTAGGGTTTAATAGTCATAGTTTTGGCAATTCACCAATAATCCAAAGGTATACAATATGAATTTAATGTGTCCTGTAGTAATTAATTTTCCTTCTAGAAAGTGATCTTCGAATGACAGATAAAACTTGAGTGAATGCAGAAAAGACATTTAACTTGTGGTAGAGTGCACAGCAATACATAACTTTCTAAAGAAATATGATTCAACAGAGTACTGGCATCTGAATAAGCATTTCTATATTTACGAATTTGGAGATTCCCAAAGGTGTCTGTATATATTTGTATTTTATACCATCCCTGAGCCCCAGACAAAGTTAACTACTTCAGGGAGAACTAACGGTAATCAGCAATTCTAATCCAAGCTAATCTTGGAATAGACGAGTCAGGAGACAATTTTTCTTTCATTCTGAACTAATTTTAAAATACATAAAATTAAAACTATAAATATTAATATGTTTCTTTTCCTAAACAAATATTTACTTTTTAATTATTAAAATGAACAGATATACATATTTCACTTTAGCTGACTGCCAAATTGGCACTCAAAATATTGAATTCAGCAAATACAAAGGACAATACACAGCCAAATAAAGGACTATACATAGCCAAATAATAAGAAAAGTAGGAATTTAATCAAGGTACTTGGATAGGTGAGTGAAGACCACGATAGCACAATAAATGTAAGTGGAAAGTCACACAGAACAAATTTTTAAAAATAAACAGAAATAAGTATTCTATGCTGACTTGATAATGAAGAGAATGTGAACAATGAGTTCACTTACTATGCCAGGCATTGTTCTAGTATTAACTAATTAAGCTTCAAAATAGTCCCCTGAGGAGTTTACTATTCACATCTCCACTTTATAAATAAATAATACATAAAGAAATGGAGGCAAGAGAGGTTAAGAACTTGCCAACCAAGGTCACACAGCTAGTTAGTACCAAAGCAGGGATTAGGACTCTGTCTGTCTGGCTTGAATTATCTCTTGTCCACTCTGTAGCATGGACTACATACCAATGGCTCCAATTAAGGTCAAGTGAGACATTTGTCTTGGGTGCAGAATTTAAGAAGACACCAAAAAACTTACAGTGATCAAATAAATATTTTAATGTAATATCTTAAAAAATTACAATAAATGCAAACATTCTATGACAAACAAAATTTTAAATAAAGACAGGATCAGATTTACTGGTTTTTCCTTGTGCCTTAGGTTCCTATATGGCTTAGCATTATTACTAGTCTTGTCTTTATTTAAAATTTTGTGCCTGAGGCAAGGGCCTCCCTTACCTCATTCACCTTACCCTAGTCTGGACCCTACTATATACCAAAATAAAACCCAAACCAAATTTTTCCTTTATGCTAAATCTTGTGCTGCAGTCAATGAGTGGCTAATTTTATCATAGAAGTAATTATCTGAACTGCTGATACCATCTTTCTGAAACATGTAACAAGCAAAAGCATTCTGCCTTGAATGGATATTACTGAATATAATGAATATTAAATATTCAAAGCCTTAATATTTTAGGGTGAAAAGAAAAACACATTTTTGGCAAGAGAAAATTCCTTTTTTTTTTTTTTTTGAGACAGAGTCTCACTCTCTTGCCTAGGCTAGAGTGTCGTGGCATCAACCTAGCTCACAGCAACCTCAAACTCCTGGGCTCAAGCAATCCTCCTGCCTCAGCCTTCCAGGTAGCTGGGACTACAGGCACGCGCTACCGTGCCCGGCTAATTTTTTCTATTTTTAGTTGTTTGGCTAATTTCTATTTATAGTAGAGATGGGGTCTCGCTGTTGCTCAGGCTGGTCTTGAACTCCTGAGCTCAAGCAATCCTCCTGCCTTGGCCTCCCAGAGTGCTAGGATTACAGGCGTGAGCCACCGCGCCCCACCAGCAAAAGAAAATTCTATGCTCAGCTTAAGTCTGCTGCACTATCCTTACCATACTGAATAATCACATATGCATCTAACAAATGTTTATTGAGCACCTACCATGGGCCACATCTAGATTTGGTGCTCCAACAATAATGAAATGATTAAGTGGAAGTTTTAGACAGGACAAAGAGGGGTAGAACTATTTTTTGGTAGATATCTACTTATAAGGTATTTATGGGATACATTTTCTCATTTAATCCTGTTTTATAGATGGGAAGACAGACTCAGAGACATTGTGTAACTTGTCCAAGATCATCCAGCTACAAAGTGGCAGAACTAGATACAAACCAAGATCTACCTGACTGAAACCACTTGCTGGTATACTAAGACAATTCGAATTTCTACAAGGACTCCAATGCAACCTAAAAAACATTTATGATAAGTAGGAAAGGGAAAATATAAAACTGTTTACTAGATTAAAACTACATAAAAATATGTTTGCATGTGGATAAAGAGTAAAAGGAAATCATTGGGTAATTATAGTTGATAGCAACATTCTTTAAAAATGTATACAATAAAAGGTATAGAAAAAATCAGTTTAAGTTGAATTAAAACAAATCTAAGTGTCAACTTTGTATTTTTGACTATGTAAAATGACCAGACATGAGTTTGATCTTTGGTATGCTTTATACAGAAATTGAAGACTTTCAAGAAATGCTTTAGTTATGATTAATCTGAGCTTCTATATCCTGAGATCAACTGGTTATCATTAATAGTCCAAACAACAAAATGCTACCATTAAACATAACTTATCCAAATGTATAATTGGAACTAAACTTGAAGTTTACACATATAATTTAACAAAAGGTCAAAGCATGGTCACTGAATATAAATAAATTGATTACATAGTTTTTGTATCTTCTTCACAGTATTCAGTGACCGTGTACTTTATCCTTTATATTTATGGCTTTCGATTTATTTTCCTATTTAAGAATATCAAGTTCTGACTCACATTCATTAATACAAAAACTTGGTTGGTAGGAACACGCATTTCAGTAGTTTCTTCAAAGTCTTAGGTATGATCAGTGAAAAGAAACAAAACGACCAGGACGGAGATATCTGAATTTGAAATATTTTACAACAGAGAGAATAGTAATTTTACTAAACACTCAACTTAGCCACAATATGCAGTCACTTGGCCTGAGGAACACTGAGAAGTGTTCAACTTTTTTAAAATGCAGACTGTTATAAAATAGGAAACTAGTAATAATCCTGGATGAGGTACAAGTGTTAAACATCAGGATCTAGTTCTCTAATTTCTAAGCAGGTTGGTGCCTAATAATTAGTTAGAAAAATCCACAAAACTACTCTTGGGTTTTGTCAAATTACAAATGATAGTACAGTATTGCACCTTTAATAAACAAGCAACAGTCTAAAGGAAATTAGTGCTTACTTGATAATCATTTCTCTTAATATTTGGAACATCCATATTGTGAGTAGAAGGGCAAATATCTTCATATTTTTTGCCAGTGAAAATATCAATTCCAACAAGGTGAACCTAATAGAGAAGGAGAACAGGAAACCTGTTTAACCTTTGCCAAGTATGTCACTCATTACATATAAAAGAGCACAATACCAATGCTGATTATGACAGATTTTTTCTCCTCCTTCCAAGGTCATCTAATTTTACTTTCTTAAAAAAAAAAAAGTAGTGGTCATAAAATTAAGATGCAGTAAATAACTAAACAGTATCATGACATGTCAGAACCCAATGTAATATATAGTCCAGTAATTCAATTATAAGAGTACATAAGAAAAATAAAGTTAGGTTTCTTAGAACTATTAGGACAGGTTTTCTCATCTGTAAACGGAAGAGATCTTCTAGGTCACCAGGACTCAAAAAAGTTTCAGTTCCCAGTTAATGAAAGGGCCCAAGAAAGGACTGCTGCTACCTTTAAATACTCAAAGCAACAGATCAGCCACTAATTGTGAGAAGGGGAAAAAGGGTGCTTATTACAAAATTTTAAGCATAGAAATCTCATGATCTTTAATGGAATACAAATAATCAAAATCCCAACTCTGAAGCCAAAGACTGACCTGGAATGGCACTTACCTTGGCATGACCGTGCTTTCCAGTTTTGGAAGTTGACATCTCCACTATTTTGCATGGTCGTCCTTTGAGCACCACGAAGCCGTTTTTGCGCAGGGCCGAGCACTGCATAGGGTAAGTGCTGGAAGCCCCAGCATCTCCAGTAGTGAAATCAATTTCGTCTGCCATGGTGGGCTGGGGAGATGGTAGTTTTTCCGTGGGAACTACGCAAAAAGTTTGTGTTTGCTTTTTAATAACGGGCATGCAGGCAGGGAAACGTCTCATTTCGGACAGGTTAGGTGCCAAGCATCATAGGCCCGTTATTTTTGAATTTATAGAACACCCACCCAAGACCAGTAGGCACTTTCTAACTGGCCTCTACAAACTTTTCCAGCCATCAGTGGGGAGGGAAGTCGCAGAGGAACTCGCTGGAGGTGGGGAGGATACCCGCCTTGGGCGCTCACCCGCAGGGGAGAGCAGGTCCCGGCTCCTACCGCCCAGCCGAAGAAAAAGCCGGCGACCTTCCCGCGCCGCGCCGCCCGGCCCTCTACCGCCGCCCCGAACCCTACTGCGGGGAGCCCAGCCCAGGCCGCACGTCCCCGCAAAGGATGGGGGATAAGAGGACCTGGCCAGCAGCACCTGGCCCTCGGGTAGCCGGCGCACACGTCGCCCTCCAGCCCTCAGCCGCCAACCCGGCCGCACCAGCGCCCCCTCTTCTGCCGGCATCCCCGGCTCGGCCCGGCCCGGCCCGGCCCGGCTCTGCCCGGCCCCACAAGGGCCTGAGCCCCAGCGGGTCCTGCGCTCGTCACCGTTCCCCAATCCATCCTTCCTCCTTCCCTCGGTCAGAGCTCGGCTCCGGGCGCCTTCCCGGGCCCTGCCTCACTCTGGCCCCAGCCCCACCAGCTTTTCCCCAGGTCTTCACCTTTCCTCAGGGAAACAGCGCCTTTCGCCTGAGCACCCAAGCAGGTCCCTTACAGCTGCGGCGGTGGCGGCCGCAGCAGTTCCAAGACACGGGGCGGGGCCGCCACACTTTCCACACCCCGGCTCCCCGCCCTTTCCCGCCCCCACCTTAGCCCCACTTCCGGGATAGGCCCTGGAGCGTCACAAGCACCGCCCTCTCGTGCTACCATTGGCTACTAGGTTCCCGAGGCCCCGCCCAGTCACGTGAAGAGCGCCCTGGCAACCCCACGTGCTTCGGATTAGTGCACTTCCGGCGTGGAGAGCGCTTCTAGGAGTCTGGCTGCTGAGGGCAAACTCGCCGTCAAGGAAACTTGCTCCTCCAACTTTCAGGTTTGTTGCGTCCGGGTCCCAGTCCACGTTAAGGGGAACCAAGCCATGCCCTCGGTGGCCCCTGCCATTGGGTGCGTGGCGGTTGTCACGTGACGGGCATCAGAACTGGCGAGGCGCGCACAGCGGGTGTCCCAGGTGTCTGTAAAGGACACTTTGGATTCGAGCTTCTGGTTCAACTTACGCCCTTCCTTGGGGTTCGAATCCACGCTTGTTTCTGGAATAAGAGCTGAGATACAGTATGTTATTACCCGGCTCCGCACTGCGGGCTCTGCGAGGACCCAGCCAGCCCATGGTAAGATTCTGGCAACGACCACCTCCAGTTGCCCCTCTAGGGTCAACAGTGCTCCCAGGGGTGGGAACTCCAAAGTATCCGCAAGCTTACAAGCAGCAGTGAAGTGACTTAACCCGCTTTTCACACCAGAAGCTGTTATGGAGTTGTGGAGGCGAAGGGTATCCGACTCCTGCCGCTTTTTCCGTCTAGAAAGGTGTTCTGTCAACTCAGCCTTTCTTTCCTCTTGACATTGGCATTTTTTAGGGTTGGGTTGTCTTCAAAACCATCCTAGAGCCTATAGGAAGGTTCCTAAGGTTCCTGCATCTCCTTTTCACAGTTCCATTTCACATTCTCCTACCTTGGAGAGGTGATCTAGGAAATTGCTTCCTACTCCACACCCCAGTTTATGTGGTCCTGTGATTCATATTGCTGTTTCATGAATAATCCTATTTCTCTCACAACTATGACTACAGTTTACACATATATTTCACATGAATTGTCCAATTTAACCTTCACAGTGAGTGACCGCCCATAAAATGAATTCAGCCTATAAATATATGAAAGAGCCAGAGTAGAACCCGGTTCATGAGTTCACTCTGCTTTTCCTTATACCACCTAATCTTTCCCTATTACTGTCTTTAGAATGATTGCTAAAGTGTATTTAAATAGTATTTATATTGGCAGGTGGTGTACTAAATGTTGTATGTTATTCCTTTAATCTTGACTTTTACTCTCTATTTTTTTAACCATGTTCAAGTTATAATTTATATAAAGTAAAATTTAGTTTTATGAGTTTTGAAAAACATAGTTATATGTAACCACCCTATAATCAAGACACAGAATATTTCCCTCGTTTCAAAGGTTTCCTTGTGTCTTTTTGTGGTCAGTCCCTTTGCCCCACACACAGCCCCTTCCAAATATTAACAGCTACTCTTTTATCTGCATTTTTAGTTATGTAAAAAGGCAGAGAAAAATTAAGTAATTTGCTCCAAATCACAGAGCAAGTCAGCCAAGATTGTAATCTAGATAGCTTGGCTTTGAGGTCACTGCTCTAACTACCACCATTCATATAAGCTTTGGATTTGGAATAAAATGATTAGACTTCATTCATTTGACAACTATAATTGATTCTCCTGAAGTCACTAGAACACTGAATTAGCAAACACTGAACCATTGTTCCTAGAGGAAATACAGGGTTAGGTTCCTGTGAGCCTCTGGACACAACATTTTCATTAAGTGGTCAATATGTGATCTTGTTTTATGTGTTTCTGTTTAAATACACAGTATTTACTATATATTGTTGACTCATTAACATTGAACCTGTGGCCAGTAGCACTATTAATTAATACCTGAAGGTAGCTTATTTAACATTCTTTCTCTGTAAGACATACCATATCCTTGTGCTTAGGTATGCTAGACTGCTCTTCAGCATGGTGCTTGGAGGCCATTTTAAATAGTGAAATCACCAAAGGAAGTACAAAAATCTGGCACTAAATAGACTGAAAAGAACACTTGTTTAAATTCTGACAGCTGAAACAAGAAGGCAGAGCTCTGCTATGTTTGACTCCAGCTAGCAAAATCTGTATTGGATGGCTCAAATCTCTGTGCATGTTCCCAAATGACTTCAAAAGCAAAGTATTGATTTTGGGATTACAAGTAAATTTTATGAAGTGTACAGATTTGCAAATATGGAATCCAAAAATAATGAAGATCAACTGTGTGTATTTTAGCACCCTTACTTCTGAATTACTATGTTGACTAAGACAGCCCCTTGTTCATAAGGTACTTGCAGCCTAGTGCAGGAATTTAAAAAGATAAAACAAATACTAGTGAAGAAATAACTATAAGGCTCTAAAAAAAGGAGCTCTTCCTAACCTAGTCTAATGCTGTTCAATTAAAATATAATGTAAGCCACATGTAATTTTTAGTTTTCTTTTTAACTACATAAAAATGA